GGAAAAGTATCAGTTATCAATAAAGGTGATAATACACAAAGTCTTTTATACAGCGGTTGTTTTTCAGTTCCGATATGTCAACGAATAATCTTGCAGTAGTCCAATGCTTTCCATCTGCGCTATATTTCAAACCTAATTGTAAAAAAAAAAAAATTGCCGTGTAATTGTACATACAACAAAACAACTATTCAAAGTGAGCTTAAAATAACTCCACCGCAGTAATCCAGGGGGCCGCGGTGATCTAATGATAATACTCGCCTCCCACCAAGGCGAACTCGTTTCGCCACGTTGCAGGGTCGCTCGTGGGAATCGTGTGCCAGACGATGTGCCGCTGGTCGACGGGTTTTCTCGTGGTTCTTCCGTTTCCCTCGCCTTTGCATTCCGGCGCTGCTCCGTATTCACCTCGTTTCACCTCATCGGCTCACAAGGCTCGATAATAACAGCCGCCCAAATCTCTCTCCTCCACTGCACTCTCCGCCATAGTAATCTTCCACTCCTTGTAATTAGTTGCTAGACCCGCCTCTGGAAGTAATGCGTTTAAATAATCATAATTTACTCTTTAGAATTTTACACCTATCCATACCACGACCGGAATCCAAACTCACTACCCCACTCCGTTAACTGGAGTCCAAATCAACCTCTGTATAAAATTCTTAACAGGGTGAACTTATATAAGAAATGTATGGTTATAATTTTCCCTTAAATTTGTAGTAGTGCACTTTTAATTCCTAACACGTATATAAGTGGATGTTACTTCCGTACTACGTTTGTCTCCGCAAGTGTACTATTTACGTACCTTCCACGAAAACTTTTCTTTCTAAGTACACTAGTTAGGTTGGTAACAGCTTGTCAAAGAATTTCCACGTATTTTGCCCCATTATCTTTTCATATTCGTATTTTGTGTTGGATGATATACTCTCCTTAGTATGCATGCTCGTCTGAGCTTACAGAGAGTTCAGAGTCAAAGTATTGCCACCTTTTAAAAGAAAATATCCCTCAAGGCTGATACAAAAATTTTTAGGTCGAGTAAAATTCCTTACATAAAGAAGTTAACTATTATTTTAAAAAAAATAATTAATTAAGAAAGTATTTAAAAGCTAAAATATAAAGCTATTCGAAAAGGAATTACTAACAAAGCTGAACTCTCTGCTCCTGTCCTTTGTATTTAATTAATAGCATTTCAAAGATAAATTTAGTTGGTCATGTCACGCCATTTTCAGAACAAGCTTCCAATATAATTTTTTTTTTTAGAAGGGATTTAAGCAAAGTGATTAACTTTTGGAGAAAATTGGGTTGTTTTAAACAGTAAGATATAAACAAGTTATTGCAACACCTGGGCAGTTGAACATTAAAAAAAAAAATCCTCAAAATGTAGCTGCCCTTGTACAAAAGGAGTATCCGTACAAAAAAAAAAACACTTACATATACGGCTTATTTAACTAAAAATCTCTCTCTCACTTCATTGTAAAAAAAATACCTATTAAAGTATGCCGAGGGGTAAGTACTTTACATAGACAACACTGAGAGGAATTAACTTGTGTTACTCACTTCTCGCTGGTTCTATAGATCGCCCGTCTACCGTCTGGAATCCTCGGGTGAACTCGGTTTTTGGTCGTGTTGCACACAGCCCGTAGCTGCGCGAGCGCATCCTGGAGGATGAAAAATAGATTAGAGACAAGGTAAACTTATGCGTGTCCTTGACAGTGCCATTACAGCTGGGTTTATTACAACAAAAAAAAAAAAAAAAAAATTCATGCCTGATGAATTATGCAGTAACAGCATTTCTCGCACACGGAAATACGTCCTCTGGATGTACGATTCCCAATACACCTAGTAATTTTTAAGTCCAGCCAATGAAAACATTTGACAAGCCTGTCCTATTTACTTATGTTCGTAACCTAACCTCGTATAAACAATCATATTTAAGACGATGATACTTCAAACATACATTTTTTGGAGAGAAGATTATTTTTGTGGACAAATACATATATAATCACAAACATGCGCATACACGTGGTTTTCAATATTTGTATACTTATATTACTGTAAGTAATTTTCCCGCCATCGAAAACCGACTGCTCTGTTCTGATTGGCAGTCGCCTCGCTAGTTTTACTTAAGATATAAATGATAACTCTTTAATTTTAACGCTTAAGGAAATCCCGACAACGCACACGGCCTGCTGATTTCCGTCGGAAACCAATACGTAAGGTAACAAATATTCAATTATTCTGTACACGCCGTAACACATAATAAAACGCTTAATTTTTACTACTGTAAACCCAGCATAAGATTTGTCGAAACCACGTTTTTCAAAAATGATGTTCCGTTTGTTTGCATTTGGTTTTACAAGAAACCCGCGCTATTACAAAAAAAAAAAAAATTGAAGAAAAAAATTTTGCGCAACTTTATTAGATTGTAGTTGCATTACAGCTTAGTCGTAAGTAGTGTGCGGTATTATCAAAGAATTTACTAAGGAAAACATAAATCTTACCTTAGTGAAAGCCATGAGTTTTGACAATTATAGCCATAGGCTGTTCACGGTAAACTGAACACTATGGATAAAAAAAACTTAGAAAAATGTCACTGCCTCTAACTGCATGTATTTTAACGAGCACTCTGAGTGGCTAACGTCCTGTAAAGTTGTTAACGTCTGCAGAGAAAGTCGTTTAATGTTTTAACGTTGAATTGAAAATGTTAGGCAAACAGTTGTGAATGCTGAAATTACTTTTTTTTTTTTTTTTTTTTTTTTTTTTTTTTTACTACGTATAAATGTAAAAATGAGCAGATTTGTGAAATATTTACTACTCCACCAACAACACAGTTTCACTTGACTGACACGTGAAAAAAAGTGGTCTGGCCCATTGCAATGTTAATTTTATATATAATGGAAGAATACGCAACCTGCACACAAGTATATTTTAAGAGGAATGGTGCAGGAGAGCAGTTTATTTACCCGATTTTCGATATAAGTAGTTCTCTAAAGGGTTTATCGAAATTTTTTTTCGACAAGACGTAAATAATAATTTACAACATCCTTTTAAGTTATTGTATTTCCCCTGCTTTCATTATTCTCGGAGCACTGATGGAAGAAAAGAAAGAATTTTTTTTTTTATATTCAGTCAGTCAGAGCTCCGAGAATAACGAACGCAGAGAATTATTAACCATGTATTTAAAGTGTTCAAAATTGTTATTTACGTCTTGTCGAACCAAAAATTTCGAAAAATCCTCTGTAAAACAAATCGTGACAAAAATTATATAAAATACAATTTTCGTACACCATTCCCCTTGAGCAGGGCTTCTAAAAGTGCTAGGTTTAACGTGAATATCGTATATAAAAGCCGATGAATGTTGTAAACTAAAGATGTTTGCTGCGTGACTGGCATGCGAATACTACCCCTCACTCACCTTACAGAGGCAACACACGACGCCATGGATGTACATGAGCCAACATAGTACACATCCATGGTGACATCTCTTTCGCTAAGTTCAAAATGCTGCAGGAAAAAAAAAAAACAAATTAAAACATTGCATTATCTGTAGGCGTTTGTACGGAGGCGCAGGCACTTAAAGATAACGGGTAAACTTCTTTAGTACATAGCTCTTGAAATGATAACATTGAGGCTCTATATACATATATATGTGTGCGTGTTTGTGTGTGTGTATCTTCACCATACGTTAGACAAAACATGGGGTGTGGCTGTGTTGCGGACACGGCCGTTTGTTTTGCGGGAATACGTCTACGTTGACGCACTCGGATTCCTTTATGTTTATTTTGTGTTCCCGGCACCGTTTTATGGGTATCATTGGATTGCTTCTGAGATGCTCTTTCCAACCGTATACGATTTCTGTATTTCGACTTGGCATTTTGACGAGCATATGCCAACATTGTGTTAATTTTTCTTAATTTTTTTTACATTGAACTCATACAATGTTACCATAACCACGCCACACAAATGTTTTTATACACGCAATCGATTGATCTTGACAAGATATGTCGATTGAAACCTAAACGAGCATCGTAGCTTCTCCTAGTCAAAAGTTATATTATGTGTGGAAGTTACGAGACGCGGCGAAACGAACCCTCAAAGATTGCGCCTCCCCCCCCCCCACCCCGGTATTGTGCGTTGCTTTTGAGTCTTCACTCAACGGTAAAATATTCTTTGATCCTTTAGCAATCGAGTGGCGTAATTGAATTTTGAATTTAGACCATAGATTCGGAGCTGCAATGCCTAACTCTATCCCCAGATTTTCTTATCATCGGATTTTCTGGATTGCCTCCCCCTGTGGTTGTAAATTTAAATACTTATTCGCGTCAAAAATTTTCGCATTATGTTCCTATGAAACTGTTTAATTCTGCACTTCGTGCTTTTAATCTTGTCCCGGGTTGGTGAACCTGCTTTCCCTCTGCGACAACCAGAAGGTTTGCACAAAGGCTCGCAAGTAGTGGGATTCTCTCCTTCAGGCAGGAATGACATCAGCTTCGCAGGTGGTAATCTGCAGGTGTAGTGTTCCCCCCGCCATCGAATCCGGTCCATAAGGAACCTATGACGTCTTCTTGGGGAGGGGAGATTACTGCCTTATGGGAGGGAGCCGAGGCGGATCAGCGTGTGTGGCAACGGTGCCCGCTCGTGACTTTTCACTTAGAAAACCATCGCTAGAGCTGGTGATTTTTTTGCGAAATAATATGAGTACACGGAATACTTCAACACTATAAGCACCCAACGGGAGTTTGTCTATTGCCATTGGTTGCCGTCTGCTTGAGAAGCAGTTGTCATATTTGACCGGGCCACTCAGAATTCGGCAACACCGGCGCGGCTCCTACGTGATTCGTGTGCAGACAGTTAACACGTGCCAAAAAGTAATTTAGCCAATCGAGACAGGTAAACGACCCTACAGTGTTTTGAAATATAACTTGTCTTGAAATCCTTTCGCGAAATTCCACTACCCCTAACCATCGCGCGTGAAGCATTACACATACTTTGCGTACTACGTATTCCCATACCTTTAGCCGAGACTCGAACCCATAACCCCCAGCGTTGCAAGCAGGCACGCGACCAACTGTGCCACGGAGGTCTGCCCGCTCACCTGCGTCCTTCGTGTGACGGTCAAGTGTACAAATATGGTATGTTTATACATACAAATATGATGTACGTACGTTACTTCTTCAATTTCTGGTCATGTTTGTATTGTTACATGCAGACGCCTGAAGGGCGTATCTAAGTTCGTGAGGAATGAAGGTCTTAGTAAAAATAAAATAACTAAGTTTGATTTGAAATTTATTCACACCACTATTAGTTACAGCATTAAATTATCTGTCTCCACTATTACTCTTTTTATTTAACATTGAGTTAAATATTTAATGTATATTTCAACTCTGATTAACGCCCTTCTTAATGCCTCTCTCTGTTTGGTTACAGTCAATTAACTTCATACCTATCATTAACAATAGTCCAACCTGCCAGCCGCACACTCCACTGCTTGATTAGGTATATTCACAGTTGCAGACTTCCCTTCCGCTGGTCATTTCTCTCGCTACTCGTTCTTCTGTCGCTCGGAACTCAACAACTCGTTCCCTCAACTCCAACTCCACTCGCGGCCCAGAAGCCTGTCGCAATATTTATACCGTTCGTCCTGACCCTCTGGAAGGTTCGACGCACCCTGAGTCACACTGAGAGAACGAGGCCAGTAATCCAGAGCATTGTTAAGATAAACGCAGAAATGGATAGAACAATGGTCAGCAGCATATGACGCAAAAATAATAATCGCGCCTACTCGCTTTTTTAAACTGATACACGTCCGCCGGCCTATCGCTCGCCTGCCATTCAAAATGTTACACTGATGTGCTGCCGCCGCTATCGTATAACGACTCTCCATTCTCCTCCCCGCTTGTTCTCGCGTGGCGGGCCAACGACACGTACCAGTATGTTTTAAGAGTAGCTATAGGCTGTTCACCGTAAAATTAGCAGTTTTGAAAGCCCTGCTAAAGATCTACTTGTATGCACTTTGTGTATTCTTCCGCCATATAAAAAATCAACATCGCCATGGGCCTCATAACTTTATTCATCAGTAGAAACCCGGATATTTCGCGGATACAAAAGAGGACAAGTTAAACTTCAACCACATGTATATTTGAGTTTTTCTATCGGGCCATAGTTCTGTTAGGCACGCCCCTGACGACTTTCAACCAATAACGATTCTCCAAGAAAAAAAAAAGCGGAATCACGTGCTACCTGGTCTGATGTTGAATTGGAGCAACAGCCAATGAACAACCAAGCGAGGCTCGATTTCATAAAATATGTTATAGTCCAGCTTGTTGCCAAATGAATCCGTGAAATTTCCTTGCCTCTATTCATCAGTCGGTCAAGTGAAACTGTGGAATTGTTAGGAAAGTAAATATTTTCGAAATCTGATCATTTGTTCGTTTTGATGTACTAAAAAAACGGAAAGCGAAAGAAATAATTTAAGCTATCACAAGTGGATACTTAACACTTTTTATTCGACGTTAAGATATGGAACTACTTTCCCTCCATCGTTACCAACTTTGCTGGGCGAATGTCACTCGGTTGCGCCCATTAAAATGTATGCAGGCAGGGGAAGTGACTTTTTTCTAAGGTTCATTTCAAAAGTGCTCACTTTATCGTGAACAGCCTTTAACCGTTGCATGTGCCTAATGTTAATATGAGTGGTGTGGATGACGTAACTGCCGCAGGAAATATGATATTCTGTTTGCAGTGGCAAAGAAAACTGTGTAGACTCGGCATTGTCCGTGCACGAAACCCGAAGCTATGACATATACGGATACTTTCCCTATTTTGCATTCGCAGAACTAACCTCAGTATTTAGACTTGGCGGATTGCGTTTCCATTTTATTGACTGAGCATTTCCTTAACATTTTCAGTGAATATACGGAAATGTTAACAGTGCATGTGATGCTTATTTCGCCCCACCACAGACGTGTGTTTCGCAAGTGATGCAGTCATCTATCTATAGTCCAGTCGTTTTTACTTACAACTTTTTGAAGCCCTGCTTATAGTTCTACTTTCAGGGTATTATTCCGCCCCATGCAAACAAATCTTATCTATGTCTAGAAAACTACTCCAGATGGACAACACGCCTCATTAATGCGCACTCAGTTTAATCATATTTTCCATAAGAACTATTTCTTACTGGGCATTACTAGGGTTACCTGTTTTTCGCGAAAATATTTACGCGGAGGCTAGACAACTGTAGTCTTGTATACGTACACAACTGTAGTCTTCATTTGACTATTGGCCTCTTGTCTTTGTGTGAAGACAGTCTGTTACATGAATGAGGCAATCGGAATTAAATTTATCCGATACTGACTGTCGGTGATCCACGGATAGACAGATAAGACGCGTAAAAATTAAAATGATTAAATCATGAAAGTGGTTTTGAGCTTAAGTGTTTTGGTACACAACTTGTCCTGAAATCATTTCGCGAAAAACAGGTGGTTCTCTCTGCTTTTGCTATCGACAACTATAAACTAAATATTATCATTTATAAATAAAATATAAAACTATGTAAAATCTAACGAACAAGTATAAAAGTAAAGAAGTATTTAAAAAAAATCATGTGATGCATGATTAGAGACCTGAGAAATTGGCGAGTTCAATTACCTGTGGGCTAGACTTCACAGTCTTATATACTCTCATACAGATATCCACTATTTATTGGTTGATTGTTGTTGTAGTAAAAGGCGGTGGTTGGGCGCGCAATTTATTTCATGTTTGTTATAAGATCATTTATCTCCAGGAGGCGTCAAATAACACGTCGACCAATTACAAAAGTAACATGAACGTACAAGTGTGTGAATTCCAACTTGTCTAGAAATGAATCCGCGAAATTCTCGGGTCTCTTTGCATGAAAGATTTAGGAAACAATGAAACATCGTCATACTAGGGGCGATTTTTCAAAGGTTCGATTTTAAAAAAAAAGTGTGAAGGCACTGAGAGAAGACTATGTCGCGATGTATGATTGATCGAGAGACTATTACTTCGCGTTACAGAATTGCACCAAGCTAGACTTCACAGTCATATGCATACTCAATCAGACATCGTATACTTACTGGTCGCGGATACAGTCTGAACCCAGTATTCTGTTCCACTCGGCCAATCAGAATGAAGCCACCGGAGTACTACGTGTCTACTATTATTTCTGAGTCCTGTGGGGCGTGTCGGGTGAGCGGAGCCCCAAAAACACACATCAAGCTAACGAATTACACTTTTATGAGACCTAGCCTGGCACAAAAGTATACTGTGACATTAAAGGGTCTCTAATTATTAGAGAAAATGGGAAATCGCGAAAAATTTTTTGAGTCAACATATCTTTTATAACACTTTTAACTAGTTTATTTTTTCATGATCGGATGAACACGGTTTTGACTCGGCCAAGTTGTTTGCGGATCAATCACGAACGTTCTGCCTTATAGTAGGCTATTAGAATCTTCATCGGCCCAATGAAATGGGATAGTAGCATCATACATGCATGACAGCCAATAAGGAAAGAAAACTGTCTAGAATGTATGTGTACAGTACGTCGGATCCTAGCAAAAAGTCAACGATCAACCATCATCTCTAATAATGATTGATAGTTAGTGATAGGAAAAGTTCGCAACTTCATTTCAGGACAATATAAGTTTATAAACGCTTATACACTAAAGTCACCTTTGCAATTGGATCAGAATTTAAAGAAGCGAATCCCGCACTGTCCATTGTGGGATAACACTGGGGCAACAGCCAATGAACAAACATCTGAGGTTAGACTATACAAAGTATTGTGGAGTCTAGCATACAGGTCACTGATTTCTGGAAATTTTCCTATCCCTATCGATAGAGCACCCAGTAAGTCGAAAATTCAATAAGTGGCGAGCTAGACTTCAAACACTTGTTACTTTCTCGTAGTTTTGGAATTGGGTGGCAGTTCTGTAGACACGCCCCGTTTAAATGTGAGCCAGTAACAAGCAGGAAGCATTAGTGTGAGTAAACGTTGAACTGTTCTGTACAAAAGCCTCGCTTGATCGCAGCAAGCAACAAGCAAACGACGGTGTCTGGAGTGTACACAAGACTGGAAAGTCTAGCCTGCTGCCAAACTAATATGCAGAATACACGCTATTACTAGGGATAGGAAAACTTCGCGAGTTCAATGACCTGTAGGCTAGACTCCACAGTGGTGTGTACACTCTAGCCTTAGTTGTTTGTTCATTGGCTGCTTCCCAGTGAGTAGCCAGTGTTACTCCACTCCTGCCAGTATGGCACTCGCTACTTGTTTCCTTGCAAGTCTGCTATTGGCTCAGAGTAGTCCAGGACGTGTCTAATAATCCACGATACAATTGCAAACTCAACTTCAGTGTACACGTGTTGGGCGTCCACCTTGCCCTGAAACGAACTCGCGAAATGTTCCTATCCCTAGCTATTACACACGTGTGTGTGTGTGTGTGTGTGTGTGTGTGTGTGTGTATTGGCACCTCGGTAACGTTAAACTGAGTACTATTGAAAGCCTTGCTTAAGATCTACTTGTATGCACATTGGACACTGCGCATTCTTCCTCAATAGCTTATGTAAAATTAACATTGCCTTGGGGCGAGTGAAGATATTTGGGTGGCTCTTAACAGCGAGGTCTTGAGAGCCGATGAGGGTGGTTGAAGTGAATATGGAGCAGAGCCGGAATGAAAGGGCGGGGGAAACGGGAGATCCCCGAGAAAAAAAAAACCCGCCGATCAACGGCATCGTCCAGCACGATTCCCACCATTGTCATGGGCCTGATCACTTCAGTCATTCGTGGAGATCCGAGAATTTCGCGGGTTCATTTCTAGACACGTTGGAATTCACACGCATGTACGTTCGCGTTACGTTTTGTAGCGGCCAGAGTTGGGGCCGCTTACAGATGCCACACAATATTACAGCAGAGGCGGCGGCCAGAGTTGGGCCACCCGCCGTGTTTGACAAACAAATTACTTGACCAAGTCAGTAAAGAAGTATATAAGGGTACTTCGAAGCGTTATCCCCCCCCCCCCCCACCCGCCTAGACGCTTCCAGCCGCGCAAGAAGTCAATC